TTGTCGTTGGTTTTTAATTCCGGACAACCATATAAGGCAGCTAAGGAATTAGCTTAAGTAATGCTCATAACACAATAACAACTTTGAACAATTTAATCTAAACTGCTTTTGATTTATGAGGATTTTATCAAGTAAGCAACATTAATTTTCAATATTATGGAACAAGACACCTTAATAGTTTCTAAGTAGTACATGTACCACCAATAAGGCTAGCTAACGATGGCGTTGCGTTGGCGATTTTTTGGCATCTCCACTTAGGCTAACTAAGGTTTTTAGTTATATTTATGTTGTAGTTGCTAACATGGTTGGTATGTGTGCAACTACTTTGTATTTATTGAGTGGCCATTTCACTCACATTTCATGTTTGAGATGTTCTTGTTGTGAGTGGAGATGCATAACTATAGCTACCTTCTGTTCCAGTTCTAGAAGGCTAGAAACGAGACGAACCATGGTCGTACCTTAGGTGAATACATCTCAAAATGGCGACGGATTAGTTCACGATTTGTATATCAACACCTCTCGCTATACATCAAACTATCATCTAATAATACCGAATGCATTATATCTCCCGTAACGATTATGTGATATATTTGAAAAGACAGTTGAATACACAAATCGAAACGATAAGACCGTTTGATCTGCACCATAATATCCCCTTCAACGCCCTCCAACTTTCCAAATGTTTTTGTAATTCCTAAAAGACTTGATTGAGAAAGACAAACACATTTTGCTGTTATTAATATTTTATTTATCAATTATCAACATGTTAACAATATGAGTAAAACGTAGTTCCAGTATATTATTATCCTTTGAGTTATATTTACAGAAGACAAAATAATAAAATTTCATAGAAAACCTTTCAACAAATCTAGTTTCTTACATTGAGAAGCTGTTTGTACAGGTTTCTTATAATTACAAGTTAAAGACTCGTGTTTATCTTACCATAGTCCCTGTTAGGGATGTACATGTATCAAAATTACATGTATGGGGAAATATTATTTGTGTTGAAAAAAAAGGGTTATATCGAAGTGAAATTAAAATGTACCATGGGTTACACCTCATAATGAACACAGATTTATGTTTGAATTCAATGTATTGTAAGAAACTGCTTGGTGCACAGTCCTCTAGGTTTGCATTGGAAGCAGCAAAAATATTTTTAACTAAATTGAACACATATAGATCATATTAAAGCAATTACATTTTAATTATCATATGTATAAATGTATGTCTATTTCAGGAGGACGGGAAAGACACTAGGACAGTATACTATACATTTATCAATATTTTATATTCACAACTGTTGTAGAGGGAGTTGAATAATGTTTTACGTAATATAATACGTGGATCAAAAACAGGTTTAGAACGTTTTGTCAACATGAGAATCGGGCATCATTTCGCTATTCTAAATTTCTTTAGTGGTACTAATGTCTTTTTTGGTATACAAGCTATAAAATAAAAATGCTTTTGTCCTTAACAATCAGAAAGTATATACATCTGTATTGGCGAATCATACTTGAAGGAGGTTACTATATGTGCGGTAAATTGAACGGAAATGTACACTTCTGCTACATTGAATATACTGTAGCCATAGCTACCAGAAGCAGATAAAGCGACGTCTGGTGAGAAACAGCTGCTCCAGTGTACTCTACACATGGTCTTGGTGACTCTGTTGTACATGTACACGGTCCTGCAGCCTCAAGTGCGAGCTCGGTATCACAGGAATGGTAGAGAGCCATTTCATTTACACCAACGTAAAAGCTGAAAACACGATCGACGTATGCTTTTACCCTGCCTTGGAAACAAGGATTCTCTCTTAGTTCCTGGACGTAGGTTTTGCATTCCTTGCGGCACAAGAAGGTTTCACATCGCTGGGTGAGCTGAAAGCACAAGTATGTTAAAATCTGTTGAAAGATGAGGTCCTGATAAAGTTTGAAATATGTTGAAGGTATTTGACCTCTGAAAAATACACTATTAAATTATTTTATCAAGAAATCATCTTTACGAGAAAACAATAAGTGATGAACAGCATGATTCTTTTAGCTTACTTTATAAAAATGATTGCCCAATATTCTTCCCATTTCTCATGCAAAATATAAATGTCAAATAAGATCAAATAATCGTGTATCTTGATTGTCTACTAATAAATTATAAAATGCGTATATGCATCAATGCATATATTCCTGAAGATCAAATGAACCTAATGATAGTTCACTGCTTAGCATTTGTGGGTCTTGCATATATAATATATTACATTCAATCTAAAAAAAAAGACGACCAATGGAAATTGTGACGTCACAAACAAAACATAATATTGAATGTTTCTGTTTTCACTAATATCAGGTCAATACAGTGTTCTTTTATTTATTTTCATGTTGATAAAATCTCACTATGACCTATTTTACAACCTACCTCTGTAAACACTTGTGTAAAATACGCAGAGTCTTCGAAGAACGACTTGAGTTGGCATCCGTCTATTAAGTCAGTTCCATGATTTATGGAACACCCTGGCAAACCCATCAAAGTAGTGCACTGGTTTGTAATTATGGATTCTTTTGGATAGTAAAACAAAAATCCGAAACACATTTCTGGTGAAGTTGCTTCTCCGCTGAAGGTTGTTGCGTTTTTTCGTGATGAAGTGAAAGAACACTTTGCCCTTAGCACGTCGCCTTTCTTGATTTCTAATGGAGACTCAAAGCTGCATAGAAATCAAAGTTTACCGTTAGGAATACGTTTAATCAGTATTTTATTCATTAAGCCAACACAACAAAAGCGCACATGAAATACATTAAAAGGAATGGGGAAAGGCTTGAATTTAGTTTGGTTTTATAGTGTTGATCGTCCGATTAACAGATAAGGTCATTTACGTACGTGCACGGGCTTCTTTACATTTCTCCTTTTATTAAGATTAGTAGGTTGATCGTTTGTATTAGGCAATGTTAGTTTGGGAAAATGTTTGTTTGGTAAGCTTGGTATTAATACATATTAAAATCAAATTATATCGAATTATCTCAGTGCATATAGAAAATATGAATTAGGAAAGCGTTGAATTTACGGTACGTTTGCACAAAATACAAACATACAAAATAAGAATAATAGAAGAGATTGTAAAGATTGGCTTGCTGGCCGAATATGACCTCTTGGATGCATGTACGTTACAGTAATGATTATTGATAATTATTTGATCTTATGTATGTAATGTTAATTTACTAATACAGAACACATGGAAATAAATATATGTGATAATTGCATTATTGTTTTACAGTTAGAGCAATAAGTATGATATTTTAAATAAATTGATCAGAAGAGTTTTAATATGTATTTTACCAGGGCATGATTCTTTTAAATAACAGTCGAGATTTTTTTTGTAGTTCTTATCTATAGGGATTTTTTTATAACAGAATAAAAACTAGATCAAACGACATAAATAACCCATAAGTTTTGTATTTGCTTAAGATCTTTCTGCAATAATTACATTTCACTCGACTAATCAACAACGATTCTTTAGTACATAAACATGTAACTTTATCGTTTTAAAGTTACATTTATGAGCAATACATGATATGATTAAAACAGGAAATTACCATGCAGAATATTTTGTAATGGAACAAGATTTGTGAATTAAACAACTTTGTAAATACTTACATATGAACTACGGGGTTATCATAACTATAATGAGGGTCAGCCATTATAGCCCGCTCAGCACCACCAGCAGGTGTGTGAAAAGTAGTCATTTCTCTACCTATAAAACAAATGTGTGAAAAAACAGTGAGACTGCAGCCAGGTTTAACATCTTCAATTCTAAACTCGTGATTATAATGAAAATATTTCGAAAATATGACTTTACCTATATTTTTATCAATTTATGAATGAAATAAAACGTTGTTACTGTTTCCAATAAATCCAGGTTTTAAATTAACTTGTCATTGTATTTTGCTTTGCACAAAAAGGAAGTTTGTTAATTAGCAAGATCGAAATGGATTTTTTTAAACTTTTACATTTGCAAGTTTTGGTGGTAAAACTTCTACTGTACGTAAACCAATTAGTCTTATCTTAGCGCTTTCCTGCTGTAAAATATTGCTATAAATTTTGAATGCGTCAAATGAGGTTTCTATCAAATATTTTCTATAGCGTATCTTTTTGGTACGCCAATCCATCAATGAGCTAATATGTTAAAAAATCGATAATGCGCTAAAACTTGAGTGCGCTAAAGTAAGTATACAATGTACGTATGTGCCGTTACAGTCAGTACCGTCATTGCTGTGAATGAAAAAGTCTTAAGGGTGGCAAAGTTATTTCCCTTTGTCCATTGTGAACAGCATCTGTATCGGTAGTGTTTATAGAACTATTCTAGGTAATAAGGCGAAAATGTAGATTTCACGTGCAAGACACACACCATGCGGTCGGCCATTGTACAAGCTCTTCTTCTTTTCTGGAGGTTTGTGATACCATAATGTAAGTAATG